TTGTAAGATTTTGTGATGAGCATGATTATTCTACACTTGCATGTTGACACTGTGGTCTGATAATTCTGTTGTGTGCAGATTTTGCGACCCGGTGACCAGAGATCATGCTGTCTTCATGTATGTGTTTGCCTGGTGCCGTTACTCTTTCCTTATCTTTATTTAATTTGCCTTTAACATACATATGTTGTTTGGATATGGATCTGCTTTATATATGAGTAGGCAGATCCATCCATGGCTGGCCTCCATTTTGTATTTTTTGTTTTGTTACAATTAATTTTGCATCTTGTATAAAGGCCTAAGATTGATCTTTCCTTGTCTCCCCTCCACAGTTTGCTGGTCACGTTTGGCTCGTCAAGAAGTTGTGCGGCAGGAAGTATTCAACTCAAGCACATCTAGAGGTTTCGATGTCAAAAAACCTGTGGTTGTGCCATCTAAAAGATCATCAGAACCTGTAGTTGTGCCATCTAAATATGATTCTCACGAAATACAGATGTGATGTTGTCGAATCAATGATTTACCAGATGCTTATAACTTTTGTAATTTGTAAACATATCAATTTGTTCAGTCATGTTGCGAGTATTTATTTGAATCACATGTACATTAGTTCTTTATCTATATATATAAAGCAAAAGATAAAGAATGGTGAAACATTCAAAATACCAGAAAATGTCATTGGTTAATTTAAACATTAAGAATTAAAATTATTAATTAAATGAGAATAATATGGTAAATTCACACTTTTTCATATTAAAAAAAAATTAATCTTAAAAGAAAAATCAGATAATGAATCATATTTTTATGGAACACAACTACCCATTATCTTTTTTAATTATAAAATAAATTTAATTTTTTTAAAAAAAATCCTCTCGCAGTCGCAGAAGTGCATAGTTAACTATAATATTCATGAATCAATTACGAATCAAGAGCAAAAGGAGTCTATCCAAAGTGCACTATACATGTTTTGTATATAGGTGCCGAGCAAAATTGCTAAAACCGCAGTTTTTTTTTTTCCTTGTGGGCCTTAATTGGCTATGCAATGCCTTAAAAGCTATATTTATAATGCAGGAAAACATCGATATTTCCACTTGGTAACATTTTCGAAGAATGTTTTATGAGAATATTTGCTAAGAGTGAAAATAAGAAAACGAATTTGCATTTTCAAGATTCGAAAATGTGTCTGGTAGATTAATTGGAAAACATTTTCAGAAAATAAAAATAGTGGAAATGTGTCTGGTAGAACAATTTGATAATAACAAAAACAAAGAACCTATAACTTTAATTAAAATGCATTATGTTTTTTTAATACGACATTATGTAATCAATATGTGAGTTTCAAAAAAAAAAAAACAGTATGTATATTATTTTTCAAAAGCATTTTTTAATCATCTAAAAGAATATCATTTTTAAAATAGAATAAAATTCGAAAGCATAAAACTATAATTACCTCTAGAACAAATTAAAATGAAACCTTAACCCAACCTTCTCTTTCACTCTTTGCAAACCCACCCCAATTATATTGCTTCTCTCTCTCTCTCTCTCTCTCTCTCTCTCCAAAATTGAAGAATCAGACCAAACCCCCCCCTCTTTTCACTTTCTCTTCATGCCGATGCACCCTCTCTCTGTCTCTCTCTCACTGCAACCTCACCTTCCAATAGCTTCCCAACTCCTTTTCCTTTTCGTGGATTGAAAATTGATTCGGCAATTAGTTGTTCAATAATGGTGGTTCAATTCAATTGCATAGAGATTATGTTGGGTTCGATTGAGTGGCGGTGATGTCAATCTAGGTCGATGGGGTGGTGGTGATTTTGATTGGGTGATGGTGGTGGTTCAATGCTGGCAACATTTGACGATGATTTTGGTTAGATGGGGAGAGAAGATTGAGCGAGAGAAGCAACGTGTTTTCAATGTTTGTTTCCTGTGAGAATGAAAACAACTTTTTTCTGTTTTCTACAAGTTCACGTGAAATTGTTCTTATTTTCTTAAAACGTTCTCCGTTTTCTCTGTTTTTGCCCGAACAGATTTTTTGTTTGTTTTTGTTCTCTCAAAATGAAAATGGGCCCTCAAAACTTAAACGAATGGGACCTTAGGTTTTCCACTAAAAAGAGAATTAAAAGAATTAGTGGTGCCTAAATTTTTTTTGAGCTCATATCGAATCCTTGATTTACAAAAATAACTCGTTGTTTCACGCCCACAATACATTATTCTTTCCCTTTCTCATGTGGAGTTTAAGGGGCACATCATCTTGTAAGAAATATCTTACATATAAAAGGAAATCAAATTCACACCTAAAAGTGAAGTAAAATTGTGAATTGTAAATTGCAATCTAGGAAATAAAACACATTCCCGTGCTAGAGCGTGGTGGCATGTAAAAGGGGTAATGAAAGAGTACATAGTATGCCCTGTAAAAATGATGCATGCACAGTTTTATACTTTATTTATACTTGCATAGCAAGTAAGACAATGATATGTATTTGTCGTTTTTTTGAACTATCGTACATTTATTTTAATTATTATCGCCAACTCTATTAACTATCAGACTCCGTTTGATTCATGAAATGAAATTGAAAAGAAATCATTTCCCATGTCATTCCCCAAGGAATGGGAATGAAAGATTCCTTTCCCACGTTTGGTAATGCTGGGAAAGTAACCGGGTAATATCATTTTATTTCATTTCCCATGTTTGTTTTGAGTAGGAATGGAAAACAAAGTTTGTATAAATTTTCAATTATACCCATATTAAATCAAATAAAAAAAGAATGCAGTTAATGATATATTGTAATTCTAAATTGTTAATGGGGATAAAATGGTCATAAAAAATATGTACTTAATGTTAGCTTATTTTCCCAAACTTTCCCATGAGAAGGGAAAACAAAACCCAAGTTGAGAGGATGACTTCACTTTCCCCCCACTTTCCCATGAGCCTCAAAACAATAAATTTTTATTATAATTACAGATTTACCAATATTTCAACTTCCCTTTTTGAGTTACACCGCCATTTTTAACTATTTTAATGGATCATTTCTCATACATCCTTAGCAAAGGGATAATTCTTGCCAATTTAAACACACAAATAAAAGCATAAATAAAAACCATAATTCTTACCAATTTCCAAGTCAGCAAGTATGACAAGGTTATATGACCTATGGTAACCAATCATTGTGTGTTTTGAGACATGAATTGACCAATCAAAGGCTGCCATGTGTAATGTAGTTGGTGGCAATTAATGTTCACCCGTGGCAAATCTGACCTGACCTAGCGACCACTATAAATTGGTTATGATAGTAGAGGTGGCCGTCATGCAAGACCTCACAGAGAGCATCGTTCTTTCCAAAGCTGGTATTGGATTGGGGTTCTCGTGTATTTGGCCTTATTCTGAAGAGAAATGAAGGCAAAACGAAGCATCCTTCATTTCTCAAACAGAAAGAGACTCAAACACAAACATGTTTATGGTTCTGCTTATGAATCAGAAACTTTACATCGAATCAATGATTTACCAGACAGTGGATCTTTATCTTGACAGCTATTTGACTCCAGAAAGATGTGACAGGAAATCTATTCCTCAATCTGAAGATGGATTTCCTTCCCTGTGGAAAGATGGCTCTTGCAAACTAGATGAGTTTATAAGGAAAAATGCGGAAGCCATCTATGCTGCAAATCTGAACCTTCTTGCATTTTCTGGGCAAAAACTACGTGGTAAACGGCTGGTCTTGATGGTTTGGAAATCACCAGTATGTAGTTGGGCGGCCTAAAAGATGATGTGTTGGTGTACTTTGTAATTTTAGATTTATCAGATTGATCGAATGTATGATTTACCAGATATGTGGTTGTAATTAGATTGATTGAGCTCATGTGTAAGTATATATATTATACAGATTTATTACAGTTCACAATTTCCCTCATGGATATTATATATTAATCTACAAAGAAGTTTATCTAAAAGATTACAATCTTTCTCTTAAAAAAAGGGATTACAATCTAATTTCTTATATTTTATATGCTCCTCCAAAGCATACTCGCAATAACCACAAAGTGCTCGTTTGAGACTACTTTTTTAGGGAGCGCTTCTACTCATAAGCGCTTTTAGTAAAAGTGCTTTTATTATAAAGATGTTTAAATTTTCTTAAGAAATAAAAGTGCTTCTTGGAAAAGCACTTTGGAGTGCTTGGCAAGTGCTTCTCCAAAAAGCGCTTCTATGGACTATAAGCACTTCTAAACTTTTTTGCCAAACGTTATCAGAAGCGCCTTTAACCATTCTGAAAGGACTCCCAAACGGTCCTTTGTAATTTGTTCAAGGGCTGGATATAGTTTTTTTTTTTCTCGATCCGAAGGCATTCGTCCCAACACCATACAATAAATAGGCACCTAGGGAGGGCTATTGTCCACATCGTCCTTCACAAAAATCCTAACTTAGTTCCCATGTGTAGCTTATTTACTAAAATTTATGTTTCTTGTAAAAAAAAAAGATGACGAATTTATTAGTTAAAGTATTGTCATAAATACTTTTCATATAGAAGGAAATAAAATTTGTATATAAAAGTTAAGCGAAATTACAATTTAGGAAATAAAACACATCCTCGCGATAAGTACTTGCCATGAAAATGACACATGCACAATGTTATATTTTATCTATACTTGCGTGGCATGTAAAGCGATATGTACTTGCGACCTTTTCAAACTATCGTACAAATTATTGTAATTATTTTCGCCAACTTTATCAAAGCAATAGCTCTTATTTTTAAAAATATTTTAGACTTACGAATAATTTAACTTTCATATTTGATTACAGCGATATTTCTTCTTACATCCTTAGCAAAGGGGATGCCCCACTTGAACCTCTCTATAAAACACAAAATAAAAGCATAATTCTTACTAATTTTCCCAGTCAGCAAGAGTATGACATGGTTATATGACCTCTGACCAACCATTGTGTGTTTTGAGACCTGAAGTGACCAATCAAAGGCTTCCAGGTGTAATTTAATGTTCGGCCGTGGGAAATCTGGCCTGACCTAGACACCACTATAAATTTGGTTATGATGGCAGTGGTGGCCGTCATGCAAGCCCTCACAGAGAGCATCGTTCTTCCCAAAGCTTATATTGTGTTGGGGTTCTCGTGTGTTTGGCCTTGATCTGAAGAGAAATGAAGGAAGAACACAAAAATGTTTATGGTTCAAATTATGAATCAGAAAATTTACATCGAATCGATGATTTACCAGACAGTGTAATAGGCTGGAAAAGAGAATTCTCTATGTTTTGCGAGTATGGGATTGATCAGGTAAGATTCTATAATCGTATATGTTTATCTGTCTTGAGGAGAAAATGATTCTACACTATTGGACGTTGGACTGAGGTCTAATTGTGGATATGATTTTTGTGTGCAGCTTTTGCAACCGAGTGCTACTATTTCCATCCCTAATCCTATTTTCTCACTCATCTTATCTTCCCACCCACCATGTACATTTGAAAAAACACAATTTTTTTCTTTATCCATCATTATTCCTAAAATACACTATAATTATTAATTATTCAAGTCCTACAAATTCCCGAATGAACAACTTGAATTTTACTGTACCATCAAAAACACCAAAAAATGAAACCATCTGGCCATCAACGTCAGATATATTTGCCTCAAAATAATCCTCCATTGAAGGCCACCCTTGAAACTGGAAAATTCATAGTTGAACCTACGACTCCCAGTGAGAAAGCTAACAGAAAAAACACAAACAATTATCACCACATTCTGGAATATTGCATTTGCTGCACAAAGACAACAAAAACAAACCAACCATCTTCATCAAGTTGTACAAAGATTAAAACCCACAAACTAAATCAACCACAAGAACACTGTGCAAACTGAAGTTCCACTTCAAAGTTCAAAAACAGGCAAGCATATACACAGAGAGAGAGAGAGAGAGAGAGAGAGAGAGAGAGAGAGAGAGAGAGAGAGAGAGGGAACACCTTGAGAGGTAGGAGGAGACTGGGAGAAAGCTCAGAGAGAGAGAGTGAGGATGAGAGCGTGGAGAGGGAGAAGGGGCATTTGTCCTTATAAGTCATTTTACAAAGAGATAAATTTGTCTTTAAAATTTTGAAAATAAAGTGGGTGAGGAAATAGCACAGGTGGGTGGAAATAGTAGCATTCTTTGCAACCCAATGACGAGTGCAACAATGGATATCAAGGGCTGGATCTTTCTCTTAACAGCTATTTGGCTGCAGAAAGATGTGACAGGAAATCTATTCTTCAATCTGAAGATGGATTTCCTTCCTGGTGGAAATATGGCACTTGCAAACTAGATGAGTTTATGAGGAAAAATGTAGAAGCCATCTATGCTCCACATCTGAACAAACCTTCTAAATCCGTGTCAAATGCATTTTCAGGGCAAGAACTACATGGTGAAGTTAGTAGTAAATTTTACATTTATACCACGCCTATACTGAATGAGAAGAAAAGCTACATCTCCCAGATTTAACTTTTTGATGGTATGAGCTTTTCTATTCTTCTGTTTTTTATTCCTTAGTTTTTTCTCTCTTTTTTTGCTGTGAATCTATTGTGAAAAAAGAGGAAACCTTCTGTGTTGTATTAATTGTTTGTGTTCGCTAACAAATTAAACCATTTTCCTCCAATTTTTATATCAGGATTCATCTTCTCTTCATGTAAGAGCTGGATGATGAGGTAGCTGTGGAAGCAGCAGCTCTGAAAGGCTGGTCTTGATGGTTTGGAAATCACCGGAGATTTACATCATTCACTTTCCACATACTATAAATTGGTTATGATGGTAGAGGCGGCCTTATTCTACAGAGACCTCAAAGTGATGATCGTTCTTCAAAGAAATGAAGGATAATTATAGCATCCTTTGGTTTTGAAATAGGAAGAGACCAATGGCGGACCCAGGAATTTTTATAGGACTATGGTATATTTTTATTTTTATTTTTATAAGAGATATATTATATGCCTTTTTTCTCTTGAAACAAAAATGTAAATAAAATTTTATAAATCAAACAAGGCCACATTACGAGAAAATATAACACAAAGAAGTACAAAATATAAATAAATACCAAATCAAACACATTGTTCAACTACTTGAGATCCGAGTTGAGTAAGTTCATCAGGAATTGAAGTATCAACATTATATGCAGAAGGTGTATCCTTGTTATCGTTACCTAAATGAGATTTTTGGATTTCAATATACACATAAGATAAACAACTACAACAAAGTTAATAATTAAAGTATTGTTCCGTACAATTTTAAAAAAAAGTATTGTTATATATATGTCTTTTATGGAAGGGAAAAAAAAAATCGCTTTGTAAAAGTTAAGCAAAACTGCATACGGGAAATTGAAGTCTAGAAAATAAACTCATTCCCGCACTAGAGCACATTGGAGTGCAAGAGGGATAATGAAAAAGTACGTATAGTGTGTTCTATAAAAGTGATGCATGCATGCATTTTGTCCATACATGTACGTGAAATTAGATATTTACTAACTGTCTTTTATGCTGTAATTGTAATGATAAACTTTATTAAATATCGAAACGATGTCTTTTTTCTCCATTTTAGGACTATATTTCAACTTCCATCCTCTTTTTGCTCATTACTTCAATTTGAAACACCTCTTTTCTTAACCATACTTTTTTTTCTTTCAAATTTCTTCATACATCCAATTTGGGGCCTCGCACTAGCAATGTGTTTCTTAGCTACCAAAACACACACACATATATAGAAGCATAATTTTTGCCCTGTATATCATCATTTCCCTAATCAGCCAGTATGACATTGCTGTACCAATCATTATGTGTTTGAGACATTAAGTGCCCAATCAAAGGTTGCCATGTGTAACGTGGTTGTTGGAAATGTTCAGACGTGGGCAATCTGCCTGACCTAGACACCCACTATAAATTGCTTGTGATGCAAGAGGTGGCCGTCATGTGCAAAACCCTATCGTCCTTCAGAAAGCTTGGCATGATTATTTCGCTGCCGTTCTCTTGTTTGGTCTTGTGATCTGCAGAGAAATGAAGGAAAATCAAAGCATCCTTCTCTTCTCAAATAGGAAGAGAATCAAACACAAACATGTTTTGGTTCAGATTATGAATCACAGACATTACATCGAATCCTTGATTTACCAGACAATGTAAGTTGAAGGGAGCAAAAGACTTCTCTTGCCCGGCAACGATTGAACAAGGTACGACTCCGTACTTATATATTTTTATTTGTATTTGTAAGATTTTGTGATGAGCATGATTATTCTACACTTGCATGTTGAGACTCTGGTCTGATAATTCTGTTGTGTGCAGATTTTGCGACCCGGTGACCAGAGATCATGCTGTCTTCATGTATGTGTTTGCCTGGTGCCGTTACTCTTTCCTTATCTTTATTTAATTTGCCTTTAACATACATATGTTGTTTGGATATGGATCTGCTTTATATATGAGTAGGCAGATCCATCCATGGCTGGCCTCCAGTTTGTATTTTTTGTTTTGTAACAATTAATTTTGCATCTTGTATAAAGGCCTAAGATTGATCTTTTCTTGTCTCCCCTCCGCAGTTTGCTGGTCACGTTTGGCTCGTCAAGTTGTGCGGCAGGGAAGTATTCAACTCAAGCACATCTAGAGGTTTCGATGTCAAAAAACCTGTAGTTGTGCCATCTAAAAGATCATCAGAACCTGGAGATGTGATGTTGTCGAATCAATGATTTACCAGATGCTTATAACTTTTGTAATTTGTAAACATATCAATTTGTTTCGCTAGGCTGAGTCATGTTGCGAGCATTTATTTGAATCACATGTATTAGTTCTTTATTAACTATAATATTCATGAATCAATTACGAATCCAGAGCAAAAGGAGTCTATCCAAAGTGCACTATACATGTTTTGTATATAGGTGCCAAGCAAAATCGCTATAACCACAGTTTTTTTTTTCCTTTGTGATTTTGCCAAACCGGCAACTGATAGAAATTGTTGTCGTTTTTTGAAATTTATATATTTTTCAAAATTAAGTATAAGATCATTAAGCCCCCGTATATCATGATGTTGGTTTGATATATGGCCTGGGGAGGAGGAAGAGCTGAGACCCAAAAAAAAAAGAAAAAAGAAGAAGAGAGGAAATGAATGAGGACTAGAGAAAAAACTTCTTGTGTTACTATCCACTCAAAAATAAACGTTGAGTTTCTTTAGTTTTGATTCCTTTGAATGTAACCAAAAAAAAAAAAATTTATAAACATAAAAAGGCAAATAAGATAAGTTAATAATTAAAGTATTGTCATGTTTATCTTTCATATAAATCACTACATAAAAGTTAAGCAAAACTACATACGGGAAATTGCAGCCTAGAAGATAAAGGCATTCCCGCGCTAGAGCACGTTGGAGTGCAAGAGGGGTAATGAAAAAGTACGCGTAGTGTGTTATATAAAAGTGATGCATGCATGCACTTTGTCCATACGTGTACGTGCAATGAGATATTTATTAACCGTCTTTTATGTTGTAATTATAATGACAAACTTTATTAAACATAAAAAGGCAACTAAGATAAGTTAATAATTAAAGTATTGTCATATTTATCTTTCATATAAAAGGGGAAAAAATTGCACCTAAACGTTAAGCAAAATTGCAGAGTGCAAATTTTAGTCTAGGAGAGAAAAATATATTCCCCAAGAGCGTGCTGAGTGATGCATGCATGGTATATTTCTCTATACTTATATGATACGTGATATGTTGTGGCAATTTTTTTGGTTTATTGGAATCATTGTGACCGAGACCGACTTTATTAACTATCAAAACAATTTTTCTCTTTTTTCTTGGTTTTTCCCCTTTTTAAGACTTACGAATATATAAACTCACATCGTATATTTATTTATAACAAGTTAATTGGAACTACCGCTATTTTTAATTATATTTTTTAACACAAGCGATAGTCTAAACTATAATAGGGAGGGGGATTTGTCACACACACACACTATCAAGATGTTGTGGCGATTAGAATCTGAAACAACTAATCTGCAAGTCAAGACTCTTTTTCATTGGTTAGACCTCGTTGGCAATTATTTGAAGATATTCATTCAAAGATCATTTCTACAAAAAATACTTGAATTCGATAACATTTGGCCACTTAATTAAATTATTGAAATTTTAGTACTTTCTTGAAACACTATATTCATTGATTTTATAGAACACAATTAGATGTCTAAACGGTTTCCGATTTGTTTAAATTTTTTTGCAAGGATAATCCACGAACGAAGACCTAAAAAATACATAGTTTAGAACGTTGAAAAATAATTCGTAAGGTACCCTAAAGGGCGTCCCTCAAATAAAATTGTTTGAGAAGATTCCTCAATGAAAATGGACTATATATATATATATATATATATATAGAAAATAGATTTATGTTTCTAATGAGCATATATATAAGAGAAGAAGATTTTGTGAATAGTTATGGAAATAATTGTTCCCTTCTAAATTTATATTGAAAATATGGAAAGTGTTAGGTAAAATTTGTTGGCGATATAATAAATAAGTACAATGCCGTTATGCTATGACAAACTTAGGTATTCACAAAAATCCTAGCCCCTAGAGCACTGTCTATATTCCTTATCGTCCTTTAATCGTAGCACATCCTGTGAAAATGATGCATGCATAAATTTATATTTTCTCTATACTTATATGGCACATAAAACGATATGTATTTGCCGTCTTTCTGAACTCTCATACATTTACCGTAATTATTATCGCCAAATTTATTAACTTTCAAAATGATAATATATTTTTTTTAAACTTACCAATATTTTTCCATTTTTAAATTACACCGCTATTTTTAACTATTTTAAAGGATAATTTCTTCATACATCCTTAGCAAAGGGGATGCCTCACTTGAACCTCCCTACAAACACACACAAATAAAAGCATAATTCTTGCTAATTTCTATAGTCAGCAAATATGACAGGGTTATATGACCTAAGTAACCAATCGTTGTGTATTTTGATACATCAAATTTGAAGCGGGATTTGAAAGGATTTGGCGAGGAGAGATGCGGGGAAGAGGGGTCAAAGGTTTTTTGAACTAGTAATACTTCTCTTCCTTTGTCAATTAAGTTCGAGTTTAATAAAACCAAAGAAGTAATATTGCTCAATTTTTTTGAAATTAAATGTTTTCTTTAATCGTAGTTACAGTAATTACTAACTATTTTTCCAAACAGGTTTCAACGAATTTTTCGTGGATTGTGGCTTTGCCACTTACGATATATATTGAATCTCATGTATAGAAATTATAAGCTAAATTTGTTTGGGTATTTGAATCTGGGCGATGCCAATGTATCAAGGGTATTCAGTCTAATGCTATAAGAGGGACCTATATTTATAGTCCTATTCTTGCTTCATCATCAAATTGTAGCTAGGTCTACCTAGCATATAGGGTCTTCTTTGTTACGCTTCTCTTTTTCACTCGTTTGTTATTAGTTTTGTCGTCTTCAATTTATCATTTCAATCATAGTCCAGACATTTTTTTTTCTCTCCTAAATTTCATATTACAGGGAAATAAATTAAAAGTACCTGAGAACAATGGCGGAGCCATAAATTCTAGGCCTTGCCAGGGCAATAGGCCCCCCCCGCCAACCCAAATCCCACTCTAGCGGGACAAAACCAGCCCGGGCAAGCCCACCGATAAATCCTGCCTGGGCTCAAGCCTGAAGGCGCTAATCTTTATACAAACTCTCTCCTTCCAATATTGTTTACTTTCCACTTACATCATTCACTTTCCACATACTATAAATTGGTTATGATGGTAAAGGTGGCCTTATTCTACAGAGACCTCAAAGTGATGATCGTTCGTCAAAGAAATGAAGGATAATTATATCATCCTTTGGTTTTGAAATAGGAAGAGACCAATGGCAGACTCAGGAATTTTTATAGGACTATGGTATATTTTTATTTTTATTTTTATTTTTGTTTTTCTCTTGAAACAAAGAAAATTTTATAAATCAAACAAGGCCACATTATGAGCAAATATAACACAAAGAAGTACAAAATATAAATAAATATCAAATCAAACACATTGTTCAACTACTTGAGATCCGAGTTGAGTAAGTTCATCAGGAATTGAAGTATCAACATTATATGCAAAAGGTGTATCCTTGTTATCGTTACCTAAATGAGATTTTTGGATTTCAATATACACATAAGATAAACAACTACAACAAAGTTAATAATTAAAGTATTGTTCCGTACAATTTTAAAAAAAAGTATTGTTATATATATGTCTTTTATGGAAGGGAAAAAAAAAATCGCTTTGTAAAAGTTAAGCAAAACCACATACGGGGAAATTGAAGTCTAGATAACAAACTCATTCCGCACTAGAGCACGTTGGAGTGCAATAGGGATAATGAAAACGTACGTATAGTGTGTTCTCTAAAAGTGATGCATGCATGCACTTTGTCCATACGTGTACGTGAAATTAGATATTCACTAACTGTCTTTTATGCTGTAATTGTAATGATAAACTTTATTAAATATCGAAACGATGTCTTTTTTCTCCATTTTAGGACTATATTTCAACTTCCATCCTCTTTTTGCTCATTACTTCAATTTGAAACACCTCTTTTCTTAACCATACTTTTTTTTCTTTCAAATTTCTTCATACATCCAATTTGGGGCCTCGCACACACACACACACATATATAGAAGCATAATTTTTGCCCTGTATATCATCATTTCCCTAATCAGCCAGTATGACATTGCTGTACCAATCATTGTGTGTTTGAGACATTAAGTGCCCAATCAAAGGATTGCCATGTGTAACGTGGTTGTTGGAAATGTTCAGACGCGGGCAATCTGCCTGACCTAGACACCCACTATAAATTGCTTGTGATGCTAGAGGTGTGGCCGTCATATGCAAAACCCTATCGTCCTTCAGAAAGCTTGGCTTGATTATTTCGCTGCCGTTCTCTTGTTTGGTCTTGTGATCTGCAGAGAAATGAAGGAAAATCAAAGCATCCTTCTCTTCTCAAATAGGAAGAGACTCAAACACAAACATGTTTTGGTTCAGATTATGAATCACAGATTACATCGAATCCTTGATTTACCAGACAATGTAACTTGAAGGGAGCAAAAGACTTCTCTTGCCCGGCAACGATTGAACAAGGTACGACTCCGTACTTATATATTTTTATTTGTATTGTAAGATTTTGTGATGAGCATGATTATTCTACACTTGCATGTTGACACTGTGGTCTGATAATTGAGATAGTTGTTATTTCAGGCTCATCTTCTTTTCTGTCTCCTCTGAACATTAGGGGTAAGCATGTATTAAGCTCGTCAAGCAGCATGAGGGAAGTACTCAACTCAAGCAGGTCTGTAGGGTTTTGGTATCAAAAAGTATGTAATTGCGGACCTAAAAGATGATGTGTTGGTTGTGCCTTTTCAGCTCGACTTAGCAGATTAAGCTAGCCCAAGAAATTCAAAGTTGTCGAATCAATGATTTACCAGAGATGCCTGTAACTATATTGCAATCTATAAACATATCAAATATTCATGTGCCAAACACAACGTCACGATAACGACAAAAAATGTATTCTTATCTTCTTTTGAAAACTTTTATAATTTCGAAATACGTATAAGAACTAATCAAACATATATCACGGTGTTGGTTTGATAAGGCCTGAGGGAGAGAGCAAGAGTGAGACGGGGTTAGATGAAAAAGAGTGAAACTGGAAACTTGTAGTTATTGGCGGACCCAGAAATTTTTTAGCGGAGGTACAATATTGACTAAGTATGAAAAATGGTTTTTCGGAATAATAATTTTCTCAAGATAATTTTTGGCGGCTTTTATTCCTTACACATCAAATAAGAAAACTTGATTTTATGGGATTTTAGTATGAAGTATATATTGATGAGCCATCATTTTTAGCCTAAATCGTATTTTGCACTAAAAAACCGAATTTTCATATTTTGATTTGGTGGAAATTTTATTTTCTAGTATTTTTATTTGAATCCAAATGGGAGGTACTTCCTTATTTACATTGTAAACTTAAGTAAATAGAGTAATATACAAATAAATAAAAGTAAAAGGACAAAAACATTTACTTAAATATGGAAAATGAAAATAAGGTAATCTGTACACCAGTTGAGCAAGGGGCAATTTGAAGCGCCTACAATGGTTTTTCCGGCGAGAGGAGTTGCAGTGCACCTCCTTGCGCCTTACTAGGTCCGCCAGTGCTTGTAGTGCGAGTGATGCTAAATAAAATTAGAAGAAGAAAAAGAAAAAAAACAAGGGTTAAATACTAAATTGATTCATGTCTTTTATTTATCCCACCAATTTAGAATGTGTTTTCAATTCAAGTATTCAAATCGATATCTAAAAGTTAGGCAAACTTGCGGATCGGCTATCAAATATTCCCGCACTCAAGTTTAAGATGGCGTAATAAAATAGCACATATAGCGTGAGTGATGCATGCATGGTGTAAGTGTAATTCAGTGTTTTTACTATCAAAACCATAATTGAGTAATTTTCTCTCTATTTCATCCTTACTAATATTTCAACTTTCATTGTTTTAACTATCTTAATTCAAAACACCGCTATTCTTCACAATTTTAAAACCATCATTTCTTCATGCATTGAAATGCGTCCTTAGTAAGGGGGATGCCTCATACATCTTGCCCTATCATTTTTCCTAGTCGGCAAGAGTATGACATGGTTGTATGACCTTGTGATGGCCAATCATTGTGTAAAGTTGTTGACAATTAATGTTCAGACATGGAAAATATGTGTGACGTAACCACGTAAATTAATAATACCACATCATGGTGTTACAATCACAATTAAAATTTCTCGAAAAAGGGAGACAAACAAGGAAGAGAACGAGGAACAGAGAAAAAACTAGTAGTTTGACTAACCACTCGAAAAACGTTAATTGAATTTTATGAGTTTCAATAAATTACAAATTAAATTTTATTAGCATAAAATATAAAGAAAATAGTTTTAGCATAATGAATTATTTTGTTTTGTTACACATTTACAATTTTGACACGTGCACAAATTTGAAAAATCCAGGCAAAAGAACAAAATTCTCAACTCTGATTAACAGTGTTTTAAAGTTTCGCGGCTATCTGCCCCCAATTTCTCATTCTTCTTCTTCAACTTCGTCGTCTTCTTCTTTTTTCTCAACCACTGCCACTATCTTTCAGTTCCAGTGCTGCTCAAATGCGCTCTCACTCCATCGCTCAGAACCTGGACTAGCTCTAATCGGCGTGCAAACACTCCTCCAGAGGTGAATTTCCCTTTTTTATTTTCGAATTTTCTCTATGTTAGGGTTATCAGATTTTCGAATTGCAAGCCGTGTATTGGTAACGCTTTACATTTTTGGGTTTCGTTCGATCTTTGGTTGCTGAGAAAACTGTGAACAGTACGGAAATCGCAATTTTGTCCATTATTAACTTTTATTTTTGGTTTTTAGTGGAAAATTTTCCTCGGCTCGGACGAAATTGTTACATTTGGGCTCTGTGTATTGTTTTGGGGGTCGATTTTGTTGTTTAAGAATCTTTTCGAACTTTTTTTAAGTAAGGGAGCCTCGGATTATGAGAAGTTTTGTGTTCGAAAGTGGATTTTCTGTGTAACTCTTGAAGCCCAAAGGCTACTGCCAAGTTATCTGGTTGAGGTAGGCTTAGTTTTAAGCTGGATAGTTCAGATCTAAGATTTTCTTTTTCCACTAGGTTATACATAAAATTGGCGGGAAAATTGATTTACGGTGAAGAAATTTTTTTTCCCTTTTTCCAAAAAAAAGAAAAAGAAAAAAGTAACAGAAGTATAAAAGCTTGGAATTCTGAATTTTCGTTTTGTTTCTTATGAAGGATTATTAGTCTCTTTCCTTTTGTCTTGTTGGCCTTGATATGCTTTTTCTTTTTCAATAATGAGAATGTTGGTCGTGATACGTGAAAAATGCATTTACTGATCTTGCTATGGAAAGTGTCAGTTATTATACCCACTATGAATCAGAACTTTGTGGTAGATTTCTAAAAGGCTTGTGTTCTCCAAAGTTCCCTGCTCATCCTGCGCTAGCACCCGAGTTTCCCTGTAATTTTTTGTCAAAGTCGCAAAGATGGTAGGAAAAGTTTGGACGATAAGGCAATCTTAAACTTTTGTAGGACAATCTGATGCAACCCACATATTATTTGCATAGTCTGTTGCTGGTATCGGCATTAATTACTGTATGACCTTGCTCTTCATTTTGAATATGACTTTGTGGACTGGTGCTTTTCTACTTGTTTTGTTTCAGGTAACTAAGGAAGTTAGCCATGGCCCCATCAAGAAAATCAAGGAGTGTAAATAAGCGGTTTTCTTATATGAATGAGGCTGCTTCTAACAAGTATGGAGAGAATGCTAACAAAACTGGGCAGAAAGTGAGTCCTGACTTTGTTTTGAGGATGTTTATCATCTGAATTGTTCTAGATTTAGTCAACAAAAACTAAATTTGAAATCTTGATTTTCTTCCTCCTTCTCCTGAAGCAACAACTTTGCATTGCCATTCTAGGATTAGGAAGTTACTATGTGATCAGTGTTGGTTTACGTATCGTTATGTATTTGCAGATCTCAAATAGAAAACCTCGAGTTTCTTCTGAAGTATTAGAACTGCTTAAAATTAGTAATTGTTAACCAGTTCTGTATGCATTTTCCCCCTGTCCTCTCATGTGCAGAAGAGAAAGTTGTCTGACATGTTAGGACCTCAATGGACAAAGGAAGAGCTAGAGAATTTCTATGAAGCATATCGTAAGTATGGGAAAGATTGGAAGAAGGTTAGTACAAATTTTATGATACTCTTCACTTGATTAACATGTTTGGGCCAGCCGTAAGCTTACTAATTTACTTATAATTTTTCATTTTAGGTGGCTTCTGTAGTTCGTCACCGATCTGTGGAAATGGTGGAGGCCCTTTACTCTATGAATAAGGTATGTGTGGGATATACTGTAATTTTATCTTGTAACACTACCGGACATTATCTTGTCCATATGCATAAAACTTTATGTCTAAAAAATTTGGTATGGTCATGGTTAATTCCTTCTATCCCCAGTGTGTGCAATTCTATGCATAGTGGAATGCTTTTGCCTCCACTCACATAACTCTGCTGTTTCCAAGTTGTGGCAAGTCCACCATTGCATGGGGTTTAAGTTTTTTTTATTTATAGAAAAAGTGAATGATCTGATCTTAATCTTCATCAATGTATAAGATTGGGCACCATTTTAGTTTGTTGAGCTCTGTAAATTAGATATTTTCCCTGAAAACCTGAACTACATAATAATCAGTTCAATGGAGTTCAGTCAATGCTGGATGAAGTCTCATTCTTTGAGTTTTTTCCAAGCTAATATGAAAGTAAAATAACGTTTGAATTGTAATAGAATCAGTAAAGTCATTAAGTTGTGTTTAGAATTTGTCAAATTTTGTTGATGCCATAATCTTGAATTATCTACGTTTCCCCAAGAAATTAATCAATGCCTGTGTTTTCTATGTTTTAATCATAACCTATTTGTACCATGTGGTGACTCAGGATTGTTCTATATTTTCAGGCCTATTTATCTCTTCCTGAGGGCGTTGCTTCTGTGGTTGGCCTAATAGCAATGATGACTGACCACTACTGTATACTGGTAAGATTGAACGTTTGTGGTTTTGTAGATCAATCTGTGCACTTACCTTCTAGGAACTATTCTTGTGGGTAATATTTTGGTACTTCAAAATGGTTTTCATTTGTTCTGTGCAAATCCATGTTTAGTTGTTTTGGTACTTCTGCAAACACTGCATGGGGAAGGGAAACTGTACCTTTTGCCATGAAATCTTTAAGAACATGAAAACAAAAAGTAGCTGACTGAAGGGGGGAAAAAGGAGGCTTTTATAACAAAAAAGAAGAGGAAGGTTTCTTTGGCAATAGTGCAGGCCCTTGCTATATCTTTGACCAGAGGTTTGGATTGTCTCCTGTAGGCTGTAACTTATACTCCTTGTTCCCCAACCCGTAGTTTGCTTTTCAAATTGGAGTGCCTTTTCTTTAGTTAATTTTGTAGCTAAATGAGGATATGTTTGTATTGTTCTATTAGAGAGGATTTCATGTCCCCTGCTTTATAATTGCATCCTTCATTGCAATAAAGCTTCCATTTCTTTTAAAAATGAAAAAGAAAGGAACGACAAGGGATACAGATTATATATATATTATTTTGTTTTCTGGTATGCTGGTTAAACATGTTTTTCAACCTAAGGAATAGTTGAAATTCACTGGTCTGAATTTCATCATTGTTTCTATTCACTGAAGGGTTTCCTGGCTGTTAATACAACTTTTTTTCTAAGGAGAAATGAAAACCTGGCATTGGTTATATTGCTAAAGGAAACTGTAATGAAGTTCCTTCTTTAAGAAATATCCATTTATGGTGAGCATGTGCATATGTGTTAGATCTAGTAATACTCTTCTGTTGATATCAATTGGGCTATGTATTGGAAATGACCCACATGGAACTCACATAGAGGACTCTGGCCTTACAGGGAGGAAGTGACAGTGAACAAGAAAACAATGAGGATGCAGAAACCTCTAGGAAACCCCAAAAGCATGCAAGGTCAAAACTTCGGAGTGAGTCCTCAAAAGGATTAGAAGGACATATTCCAGATTTTTCAGAGTCCCATCCAATGGCATCAACTAGTGACTGCTTGTCACTGCTGAAGAATAGGCGCTCAGGTGGGAAATTTTTATGATCTGTGTGTGTGTCTGGGTCAGCACATGTATAATTTGCGTTTCTTTTTTTCATTTGTGTTTTACTTAGTGGTTATCTTTTACTCATTTGTGGCTTGGAACCGAAGCAGTTTTGCTGCTGCCTTTTTATGCTGCTCGAGTCATATTTTCTCACTATTATTTAAAAGCAAAGCTTCTATACTTCATAGGAAAATATAGTGCAACTTGGTGGGGAAATGTCAATTGTTTCTTCTTGTTTATGTATGTTTGCCCCTTGTCTTTGGAAAAGAGAAATTGGTAGTGGATGCAAGAAATTGGTGTAGGAGCAAAAGTGGGAAACGGGTTTATTTTAATTAATTTTTATTTATAAAAATTAGAATTTAGGGATTAAGTTATTTATTAACGTATTTTAATATTGCAGGATTACCTCTATAAATAGGGTCTATTGTAATGGAATTCAAGAGTTTTATTATAATGAGATTAACTTTTCTTGCTCCTATTGTACTCCTCACTTCTTCTCTCTCTCTCTCTCTCTCTCTCTCTCTCTCTCGTTTTTTCACTTTTCTATTTTCTTCTTGGTTCTACTTCAAAAATTCTATCGGCACCCCTTGGGTCTATTTTACATTATATGTTTTTTTTAATGGTGCTGCCATTAATATGTTTTGAATTTGTTTCAGGAATAAGGCCCCATGCTGTTAAAAAAAGGACTCCTCGAGTCCCTGTTGCATATTCTAATGATCAAGATAATGGTAGAAAGTATTCTTCACCTGCCAGGCAAGGTTTAAAACTCAATGCAGATGCTAACAATAATGATGTTGCTCATGAGATAGCATTGGCATTGACTGAGGCCTCGCATAGAGGTGGTTCTCCCTTAGTTTCTTGGACGCCTAAGAGAAAGGCCAAAGGCACTACACCATCACCTGTTCGGAATGGTGAAAGGATGGTAAGATTATTATTTAAAAAAAAAAGCTTCATTGCTTTTCTAGAGTTATTTCAAGATGATAATTTAATCGTTCATTATTGTTTCTGACATTTAGTGTGCAGAATCAGAAATGATTAATGCCAGGCTCCATGGTTGTGAAATGGATGAGGGCGGTTGTGAATTAAGCTTAGGTAGCACTGAAGCTGACAATGATTACTATGACAGAAATGAAAAGTATGCAATGGGTAGAGAAGGGACTGGTACTCTGGAAGTTCAGCAGAGAAGGAAGAGATACTTTGTAAAGAAGAAAGAAGATGACGAAAGTAAAAACAAACATGTTGAGGACATAAAAGAAGCTTGTAGTGGAACAGAGGAAGGACAGAAATTAGGTGCTATCAAAGGAAAACTTGATACTAAAGTTGCGAAAAGTGCTAGGTCCTTCTACAAGGATACAAGAAAGAAAAGTAAAAAAGCTCCGATTGGAGGAGGTATGTTTTCAAATATTTAAGACAAGCTCCCTCCCCCCTTCATACCTTGCTTTCCCTCTATAACTGATATTTAGATACGCTTTTGCACAACTTGTTTCCTTCGCAATTTCCAGTTTGGTACTTTTGGTTTGTAGTACAGATACAGTTGAGGTAGTTTTATTTTGTGTTGCTGTTTTCTTGTATTTCTTTTTGAGACAATCATCTGGGTTATTTTTAGCTTCTGTTTTTCTGTGCATATCCAACCATTTAGAAGATTATGTAGATTGTATGCAAGCCAACACGTTTGAAAATTGTAGTATTGATGATCGGGTTGCAATGCTTTTCCACTTTGATTTTTGATATGATCTTAAATTTGACTGCTCTGTCTTCCTATCTGTTAAAGCATGTCCAGACATTACTCATTCTAACTTTTCTCTCCATGCAGATGAAGGCTCTCCCTTTGATGCACTACAAACTCTGGCAGATCTATCCTTGATGATGCCTGAAGCTGCTGATACAGGTAAAACATGTGTTTTGACAAGTACAATTTTCTACCACTGTTTTGCTAGGAACACTGGGTTTTATCTCTTGTCATGTCCTTCTTTTAAGGTTTATATAATTCATTAATGTTCAGTTTATGTCTTTCTTTTTTTCCTTATATCTCTTGTATTCAGTTTCAAAATTCAGAAACATTCTTATTCTTGTCATGTTAGAGCTAGCTTACCTGGTACCTTATCAAGGGGTTCTGATCAAATACAGTGGCTTTATTTGAATAATTAATTTCTCATCAGTCTTTCTTTATCTTTCTCTTATAAGAAACAAAGCCTCTGTATGTGTCATGAAGATTTTAACTTGAATTACATTTTGCATGCTTGAATAAAGCTCTGTTTGTCTTTTTTTAGCTGTACTGTTTAGTGCTCATCAATAGTTCTAGGGGTCTTTTGTGTCAATTTGTTCCTGCAATATGTATTTTGTCTCTTGAGGATTGCAAATCAGTTAAACATGGGGTGATGTTAACGGTATTATGGTTTACTTAATAGATCCTCTTTAACTGCTAACTGATGTATTTGACTCAACCTTTGATTTCTTGTTGGTTCTGTTTTTAGAGTCATCTGCACATGTCAAGGAAGACAATTTCAATATTGCTAACAAGTCTAAACTGAAAGGAAGTCGTCCAATTCCTGGGGTTGAACATGCTGCTTTTAAAACATCTAAACCGGGCAAACTCGGAGAGGGAGTTCATCAGTCTAATAGTGGGCTGCAAAAAGGAAAGCAAAAGTCATTGTCATTTAAGGCAAGGACAGATAACACTTTTCCTACAAAGTCCTTTAGTTTTGCTTTACTTGCGTTACCCCATATGGTCTGTCTGGTTATGGCAGGAATTGATGACCATGTATGACGTTATTTATTTGCAGATATATAATGAAGCTCAAACTGACTGCTATGCGAGTGACAATGAAAAGATTGAGGTATGGGGTCCTTTCACCCTAACTTTTTCGCAGTGTTTTCACTTTACTGATTACTCTGTGGTTGTTTTAAAAAAGTCTGGATGTTTTAAATTATAAGTCTAGAAGGTGTTCCCTTTTTTTCTTTTTTCTTTTTGCTTTTTTTGCTACCAAGAAATAAGGCTTAGCATACTTACCTTCAGAGGGTAACGGCACATTCTTTTGATCCTTTAAAAAATGTTTTTTGTACAGAGTAGGTGGTGAAACTTTCTTTATATGTTGCTGTTTTGGAAGTTCAGTAGTCTTTAGATCGAAATTATTCAAAAGTTTAATGTCATTTCTTATGGTAGTCACAAATCACAATTTGATTTCTTTATAATTTTCATGTGCCTACAATCACTTTTGACTTTAGGTATTTATAATTGGTTTCAGGCTACACTTGAGGTGAAGAAGTCCGCGAGTAAAGGTAAACGATCTTCACATTATACGACACACCCAAAGCAAGGGAAATTGGTGAAGAAGACTCTATGGAATGCATCTTCTGCTACTGATCGTAAAAGGGAAGAAAACAATTCAGGTTTATCAACTGTACAAGTTCCATCTGCAAACCTAGCCAACTTACCTACGAAAAACAGGGGTAAATGGGAGATGGACATGCAGAAATCATCAATGCAGAAGGATACAAAGTCTCCTGAGAGTGTTTTAGATGACCAACCTGATAAACTGGTTCCTTCATTTCGTAACAGAGAACTAAATATTAAGGTAAACGTGTCATCATTTATATTGCCATCTGAATTTTTTGAATATTTGATTATGTTTCATTTATAAGTGTGCATCTACATTTACAGGAAAAGCTTTCTAATTGCTTATCTCGGTATCAAGTGCGGAGATGGTGTGCTTTTGAATGGTTTTACAGTGCAATTGATTACCCATGGTTTGCTAAAAGGGAGTTTGTGGAATACTTGGATCATGTTGGATTGGGTCATGTTCCAAGATTAACTCGTGTTGAATGGGGTGTAATAAGGAGGTAGATGTCCCTGATCTGCTTCTTTGACTGGAACTTTTTGTTTGGCCAGTTTTGACTTGCCTTTCAGATTGATAATCTCTGCAAATTTTGTTGTTGGTACTTGTTGATGCAGCTCCCTTGGCAGACCACGGAGATTTTCTGAACAGTTTTTGAAGGAAGAAAAAGAGAAGCTTAATCAGTACCGGGAATCTGTTAGAACGCATTATGCTGAACTTAATGCTGGTACAAGGGATGGACTTCCGACTGACTTAGCTCGGCCCTTATCAGTTGGACAGCATGTCATTGCTTTTCATCCCAGGGCAAGAGAGATCCACAATGGAATTGTACTAACCGTGGACCATAGTAGGTGTTCTGTGCAGTTTGACCAGTCTGAACTAGGGGTTGAATATATCATGGTAATTAGTTTCCCTCACTGAATTTTATGACGTAATTATGTATTTTTGTTAAGGAGAATATTTCATTTTGTTAAAACCTTCATGGGAGGAACTTTCTTTGGTGGCCAATAGAGGCGGGAGGGGAAATAGGGAAGGAGGTTCTG